TGTGTGTGTGTGTGTGTGTGTGTGTGTGTGTGTGTGTGTGTGTGTGTGTGTGTGTGTGTGTGTGTGTGTGTGTGTGTGTGTGTGTGTGTGTGTGTGTGTGTGTGTGTGTGAGGGAAAGGGGGCGAGGGCAGAGAGCGGTGAATGGGAGTTAGCCATGTGCGGTATGAATACGCTGTTCATGCTATTCACACAACATACGTACACCAAACCACACACACACGCATACACACACACAAAAAATACCTTGTGGTGGAGGAGGACGGTTGTGCCTGGGCTGAGCGCGTCCTTGTCCACAAAGGACATGATGGCCACGTAGTACTCGGAGCCGACCGAGCTGGAGACAATGGCGTGGTTCTCGTCCACAATCTCCTCCAGGTTGCCGACGCTCATGGGGGTCCCGCGCAGGTCATCCACCTTGGTCTGCTCCTCCTTCTCCATGTCCTCTGTCGGCTTGAGCCGCTGCTGGTTCTGGATAAACTCTTCCTCCAACAGGAGAAAGTCCTTGATGCGCTCTTGCTTCAGCAAGCGGAGGCGGCACCGTGTGTGCGGCGTCACTGCAACCGCGGGCAATGAAAACGCAACAAACATGCACAACAGCACAGACAGACAGAGGGACAGAGACAGAGACAGAGACAGAAAGATGAGTTGATAGTATCACAGCCAGCTTGGGACAGTTGGGGAATTGCGGAGCACAGGAAACGTGGAGAAAGCAACGCGGGCAAATGCAGTGTGGAGGGCAGAGCCAGCAACGAGCAGTACACTCATGCACACCTTTGGGCAGGCGGTGCGCAACGTCGGGGCCACGGCGCTGCCAACGGTAACGAGGATAATCGAGTACAAATGACAGGCGCAGGAAAAGGGGGATGTGAGTGGGCGAACAACCAAACAAACAAACAAGCACGCAAACACACACTACCCTCAATTGACACTTGATCCAAGCGTCGAGTGCAAGCCATGAACGCTGGCTAACACACACAACACACACACACGTGCGTACACACACACACACGTGCGTACACACACACACACACATACACAAACACGCACACATACACAAGCTCGCACACAAATCATGTTCAGACAGTGTGGGTGCGCACCCTGCGTTTGTATGTTCCATCGGTGCGAGAGGGCACGTCGGGTGCATCCTATGCAACAAGGAAAAGGCCAGCAAGCAAGTGAAGTGAGCAGCGGGCACCTCACCAGAGAAGATAGAGAGTGTATGTGTGTGTGTGTGTGAACAAACAAACAAACAAACAAAGCACGCAAACAAAGCACACAAACACACACAAACAAAGTACACAAACACACACACACGTACATCTTTGTCCTTCTTGTTGTCACTCTGTATGACCATCCACCCATGACAAGTTGCAGTCAAGCAGCATACAAAGCGTGAGCGAGTGCAGGTCATGCAAATGCACGGCACAACGTGTTTGATTGGTGGGGTGGTTGTTGTCGACACTTGTGGCTATCGCTGGCACTTGACGAAGAACAGAGGAGCAATTACCAATGTGAGCATCAACAAGCGCACCATGGTTGGGGGGGTTGTAGCGGATCAAGTCACACGCGTGACAAGCTTGAGGCAGCGCACGAACGCAGCGGTCGCTGGAATCGGTGTTGTTGTTGCTGTGTGGCGTTGATGGCGGATGCAGCAGCAGCAGCAGCAGCAAAGGATATAATATGGCTTCTTGCTCGCTCGAACGGTTGTTGTCGCGGCACAACTGAAACTGCCGACGAAAGAAGCAAACACAAACGTCAGCCGCAATTTATGCTGTAGTTATTCGATCTGTCATCTTTCGTCAATTTTCTTCTTCTCGCTGCTCTCGTGTGCGTCTGCCACCACGTTTTCTTCATTCTCCTCTCACACGGCACACACCACACAAGCACCGCCACGATGAGGTATGCGTGCATATGGGACTGATGTGCTTCTTGCTCCCTGTTCCTGCCACTCTGCGCTTGTTCTTCATCCTCTTTCTCTTTGCGAGCTAGGGGTTGTGTATGTGATGTATCAAACTCAAGATTAACTTTCGTTCTACCGACGTCGGCGCGATACGCGTTGTTGAGAGACTTTCTTACTCTTCACTGATACACAAACCCCCTTGCTACCGCTCCTCTCTTTTTTCCTCCTGCGATTGTCACCAACCTTGCCTCCCGCAAATACCCCGCACACACACACACACACACTCTCTCTCTCTTTCTCTCTCCCTCTCTCTTTCTCTCTCCCTCTCCCTATCTATGTGCACTTGCTCACGCGGTTCTGTCCCCCTTCTCGTTGGACCTACAGTTGAATCGAGTTACCTGCAGCAACCTTTCCCAAGACCATGCCAAGCCGCAGCACGCCATGAGCGCCATCGTGGCGTGGCACGCCCAACACGGGTCGCCGTCCCCCTTCAGGACCACACCTCTCGAGACAAGCAGGTGAGAACCCACAATCTTTCGCTTCCGCTCCCCCAAATGCTCCCTCATTCTTTTTCTTCGCTTTGCTTTGCGCCCTCTTACCATCGTGGTTGGAGATGACGAAACCAATTAGGAAAATCCAACGCCGAGTCGCAGCACGCTGTGTTGTTGACGTGCGGATAAACAAATCGAGCTTTAACTTTAGCGAGATCCATACCACGACATTTTTTTCTCTCTGCCTGTCCCTATTGATGAAAACACCGCATACCCGCACGCACACCCCCGCTCCGCCAGCGTCATCTCACACGTGCCCTGTTCCTTCCGTGCAGAGAGATTTACCTTCCTAGCAAGTCTCTCGGAGAAGGATGCGTATCGCGTGTACAGCATGCACAGAAGCACCATTGAGGATTTGGGATGGCCGCACATCGCACACGCTGGACACAAACATTGCCGCTGCGCTGTTCGTTTGCTTGAGACTCGTCGTCCTACTTGGCATATCTTCGCCACGTGCGTTGGCGCTATCTCCCATTTGCTAAGCTTTGGTTTCTTTCGGTTGCCACCCTTGCTCGCTACGCTCGCTGTGCGACATTCTTTGACCAACCAATACAAAGGAAGAATGGAAACTTTAATGTCCTTGTATGAATGAAATGACTGGGGAGGTCACCAACCAACAAAAAGAGGGACGACCAACAGGCTCAACAACACTCTTTGATGAGCACAAGAAGAGGTTCAGTAGTATGATGAAAACGCAAACATCGACACACACACACACACACACACACACACACACATTGACGGCAGTTAGTTGAGATGGAAGCCTGTACTCTGCATGGCGGTCAGAAGCCGCTTCTTCATAACTTCCTTGGACGAATAAATGGGCAGCTTAACGTAGTGCACGCACCTGTGTGTGTGTGTGTGTGTGTGTGTGTGTGTGTGTGTGTGTGTGTGTGTGTGTGTGTGTGTGTGTGTGTGTGGCGGGGTCAGAAGAGCGACACGATTGGCAGTGCACGAATGCACGTGTGCGCATGAAACCACAACAGCAACCAACGCAACAACAAAGCACGTGACCCCCATCATGCACCACAAACGTACGTGTTGACGGATGGGTAGGTGTCGTCTGCAGGGGCGTCATCCATGCCCTTGCGCACGATGGTGAAGTGCGGGTGCAGGTTCTGCAAGCCGCCGGGCGGGAGGGACGGCGACCCCGTCGCAAACAGCAGGAACCGCTGTGCACATACACGCGCGTGTGTGTTGGTGTTGAGATGAGAGGAAGCGGATGCAAATGACGGACAAATGGTAGCGGCGTGACCAGATACCAACACACGCACGCGCACACACACACACACACACACACACACACACAACACACACACAACACACCTACGCGCACACACATAACAACACATACGCGCGCACAACATAACAAAACATACACAACAAAAAACACAACACAAATGCGCGCACCTTGCGCTCCTCGGCTGTGAATTCGACGAGAAGGGAGAGGAAGGCAAGGTAGTTTGGATGATCCTTGGAATAACCGTGCTTTGCCTCCGTCGATGCCAACAGCTCATCAAACGTCCACTCAATCGCCTGCTCGCCACACAGCACAAGCAGGATCTAAAGACAAGGCGGCAGGAGGAGGGGGCACAAGTGTGAGAACAAGAGGTGGATGGGTGAACGGGGTGAGGGTAGTTTGCGCAAATGTGAAACCCAGCTAGCACATACACATGAACACACACTCATCATAAACACACACACACACACACACACACACACACACACACACAACTCACTCACGCACTCACGCACTCACACACACACACACACA